GGCCCGGGCCGGGGAGCCGTTCCCCGGGCGGCCCGGACAAGCGCGGGGCTGGCGGCTCCGCCCCGCCGTGCCGCGCCTCATTGCTTCACTTACTCTGCAGGGAGGGCGCCGGGTCCCGGCTCAGAGCCGCGCCGGCCTCGGCCCCAGAGCAGCGAAGCAGCAGCGCGGAGCAAGCCAGGAGCGCGAGCGGGAGCGGCCCGCGCAGCATGTCTGCTCGTGACAGCCTCGTCCCCGCAGGCGAAGGGGCCGGGCAGGGGCGAGCCTGGCAGCGCAGCTGTCCCCCCTGCAGCCCGGACGGAGCGCCCCCCCCGGCCACGGCCACGGCCACGGCCACCTCCACCCGCTCCCGCCGCAGGGAGGGGACTGGAGCCGCCGCGCCCTGGTAGTTTGCTCTCGCTAGAGGAGGGGCATGCGGCACCCACCCAGCCAGCCCCTGCCAGATAAGAGGGAGGAGATGGGAAATCCCCCCAAGCTCGTCGTCTGCAGCTTAGGAGGGTCAAGAGGAGCCTGCTGAAGGGCAGAAGGCTGAAACTCCTGGCCCCTCACCCGCTGCGGCAGCTCCGCGGCCCCACCACATGCCTTGCGCTTGGGAGTAAAGTTAGACATCTGTCCACACAGCGCTTTGCCCGAGGTGTCTCCAGCCTGGGCAGAAGTGTTAGGACCGAGGAAAGGTCATATGGGGCCTCTCTCTGTGGAGAATGGGGAAAGAGGCTCTGTTTAAGGAAGGTAACCTGAAAGGGGAAGTGGGCATTTAAAGGGAACTATTTACAGCAGGGGCGGGCAATTATTTTGGGCAGAGGGTTGCTTACTGAGTTTTGGCAAGCCATTAAGGGCCGCATGACAGGCAGCCTAGGGCAGATAAATATTAATTTTCTAAACTTTTTAGGGGCCTTGCAGGCTGGATAGAATGGCCTGACCGGCTGCATCCAGCCCCCAGACTGCATTTTGCCCACCCCTGATTTACAGCGACAGGATTAACAGTTTGCCTAAACAGGTGTCTAATGGTGCCGTGCTTCTACCAGGGAGCTCAGCAAAGGATTGTTCTTAAAATAGTACAGTTTTCCATGGCTGCATCAGCCTAAGTGAGAGCCAGCCAGAGATGGGCTCACATGGGGTCTGCAGCAGTGTGGTGCCCACCTCCCTGACTCACCAAAGGTGCAGATGACAAAAGGGAGAGTTCCCAAATCAGCAGACATACCAAGAGAGAAGTGCCATAGCAAGGGGGCAAGCAGGGTTACCACCCCGGGTGCTGAAGTGAAGGGGCTCCGATAGGTGCTGCCCTGATGGGGCAGGGTGCAGGACAGAGCTGTGAGCGGCTTGTTTGGGGGCATGCGGGGATAGGGGGAGGGCAGCCCACCACTGCATACACTCCCGGGCAAGCATGGGGCGGGGGGGGGGGGGACACATGTGCCCCAAGATCTGTGCGAGGGGCGAGGGTGGGCTGCTGCTGCAGGCTTTGCCCTGGGAGCCAAACTTCCTTACCATGATACTGCAAGAGAGACCCATGAGCATGACTTCTAATCCAAAAAAATAGCACATAATTTTTGATTGCCAAACTTGTGCCTCTGTGCCCGAGTGCATCTGTGCTGAGCAGAGCAGGAAAACTCCAGTAAGATGCCCCAAGGCAGAGGCATGTGGTACAGCAATCCCTGTTTGCAACTCAGAAAGTTCTGCTTAATAAGTCAAATTTTCCCACTGGTACAGTAAACCACACACAGTCCAGAAGTCTGTTTTTCAGCAAGGTCAGCAGTTCTAGTTCACCCAGCTGGCTCTATGCTCTTGGGGGAGGGGGAAGGATAATTTATTCCTTTCTTGTTGCACACCTCAGCCCTTTTGTTAAACACACTTTGTGTGTGTTAAAGCCAAGCCAAATAGGTTCAGGTCCAGACACTTTGGGGGCTTCCTCCGTGGAAGACAAAAATAGAGCAGGCACAGTGAACAGCTGAATCTCTGAGCTCAAAACAGAGACTGGTTGGCCAGAATTAATCTAAAGGTACAGTCTTTAATCTCTGTAGGTGCTTCCCTTTCTTGCTCTGCTGTGCATACACAGGTAAAAAACAAGCATGTCTGTGTTGGAGCATTGTTGAAATCCTTCCCTTCTTTCCTTTTATCACTGTTCTTATTTGCTAGCTTTTTTTTTTCTCATTCTGTACGTTTTTATTATCATCTTTCCAGCAGGATACAGGGGAGGATAGGGGGAAGTCGGAGGTTATGGACTGGAATCACAGGATGGTGATATGCCTTTGAAAGAACAGGGGCAAACATCAGAAATTGGTAGCAGCAGATGAATGCAGATAAATATATTTTCTGCATATCAAGATAAACAAATGGCTTGCAGAGAAGAACAATGTGACAGTAACAAGAAGAAAATAGAAGGAAGCTACTGAAAGACTAAGCTGTTTCAGGATGGGTTTGGCTTGGAAGAGAATAGTTGCAACACTCTAGTAATACCCAGAACTTCTTCAGAAAGGTTTGAACTTTCAGACAGACTCCATCTGCAAAACTTAGGCCAGAGCTTTGGGTTCAGGCAATTTTTGGAAAGTTGGCCGTTAGACCAATGTCCAAATATGAGCCTGAAGAAGGGTGTGTGTACACAAAAGCTGGCAAAGAAAGTAATGTTTTTGCTACTATTTAGTTGGTCTAATAAAACATGTTGCCTCTGACTCAAGAGCTTTGTTTATCTCTCTTTCTTAGGCCAACATGGCTGTAACATATATATCCCTCAAATATAAGACATTCTCTGTTGGAAAATCCTGGCCTCAATTCTAATTGCTAAGCACTGCTAAGCATTCAGACATTACACTCACAGACCATCACAAAACAGGAGAGTAGATCCCCATTTTTTCTATACAATAGCTTCTGCTCCTATTCTTGTGGCCCTAAATACATCTAGATAACACACATTTAGCTGAGCTAAATGTAATGTAATGTAATGAAGGGAGCCCAGCCAACTGCCTTGCTATTCCCTCTGCTGGACCCAAACAGAAATGCAACATTCAGGAGGAGAAAACAGTTCAAAAACTCATGAGGCTCAGTACTGGTCACAGACTACCCTACCCCAAAAACAATATGTTAGCACCAGATAATCTGCTCCTAACACTGCTCTAAAATGTCACAGCTTTCTCCTCATTCACAAAGCTGAGCTACACTCATATTTCTTTTCAGACACTGACACAAGTATGACTTCTCCCATCATAGGGGTGTAGGTTGTGTTCTCCCATCACAGGCACTTGGGTGGGATGTTTTGGTTAGGGATGATCCTGCCTTGAGCAAGGGGCCAGACCTGATGATCTTGTGAGGTCCCCTCCGCTCTTATTTTTTAAGGATCCTATGATCTACCCCAGATGTAAAGCTATTTATTACCCTGCACACCTTCATAAACTCTGTTTCTCAGTCCTGGTAGACCCAGTACTCCCTTGGATACCTCACAAATCTAGCATCCAGCTCAATCCAGCCCATCTGACAATTCCCTGCTACCCCCCTACTATATCCTTTGTCTTCCCTACAACCTCAACAATCCATATAAATCCCACCTTTCTTTACCCACTTGGTTCCAGACACCTACTCAAACTCTAGACCAGCCAAGTTTTGTTCAGCTTCTGTCCCCATCACCGTGCAATCATTCTATCATGACATTCCCAGCACTAATATCACTTCTGCTAAAGACCTGAAGCCCACTCCAAGCAGATCTTTGACCCTAGAAAGGGAGATGTACCAAAGATTCCAAGATGACACCTGTAGACTTCACTATTGCTACCCATTAATCACAATGGGCAACAGTATAAACCAGGCTTGTCCAACATACAGACCGCGGGCTGCCATGCGACCCTCCAAGCTGTTTTCTGAGGCCTGAGGTCCTGTGACGGGAAACAAAAGTAAACACTATACTTTCATTAGTGGGGGGGGGTTGGGTGATGTGAGGTCTTTGAATATGGCTAGCCAGCCCACTGGGTGATAAAAAGTTCATGATCCAGCCCCACATTCAAAAAGGTTGGACAGCCCTGGTATAAACCATTAAAACAGATCGTCATGTACTCCCATATACTGGGGAGGTGTAATAGTCAGAAAAAAATCAAATATTGTTATACCTGCAATCAAATGAGATGGTTGGAAACATTTGCCCCTCTACATGCTCCTATACCTCAGAAGATCCTTTGCATACACATATTCACTACCACCCCTCATTCATGTTCCCTAACTCTAGCATCACCATACACCATAGTTATGAGTAAACTCTTACTATCCTCCCCCCGGACAAGTAACCTTTCTACATACAGCTACCCCAACACTTTTCTGTTTGTCCTAACACTCTATCCTCACTTGGTATGTCTGCACAGGAGGCTGCAGTATCATATAGACAAAGCTGAATAAGATTTATCTTGCTTATTGGCAGGGGAAGTTAGCCCCTTTGGCATGCCAGGCTGCTATGCCTAGATAACTTCTGGTACTAGATTATTTAAATGTAGTTTAGGTATCTTTATACCACCTTGCACTCTCCAGTGAAAACATCTCATCTCCCTTGGAGCCCTTTTCTCCCTGTACACATAAACCTGCCTCCCTTCATTATGCCCCTTTTTCTATATACCAGGCTTTCAGGGTATCATCCACCCTAATACATGTGCACACTAGTGCCCTTGCTAACACATCCCTCACTATCATTCCCACTTAAATTAAAACAAAAGTAGAGTGGGTGCATCTATACATGACATTATGTTTCCATAGCAACACACTACGACAATGTAACATCTGTAGGCAAGACCTGTGATGCCACAGCTATGTTGCTGTAGCTACGTGCTCCCCCATTATAACATGTCGCTACAGTGATGTAATGCCTAAAAATAAGCGTGCCTGGCACACACAGTGCAGTACGGGGTGTTACTGTGTTGTACTTCCAAAAGTAAGTACTAAAAGATGGCACAGTAACAATGGTGCCATAGCAGCACGTGTAAACACACCCAGTTATGCATACTGGGCTCTCATCCACTGATCTGCTAGCAGCTTAAACTCCTCTCAGCAATAGCCTTAATGTGGTAGATGAAGGGTAGGAAGCAGTTTTATCATGTCCACTGCTCTTCCTGCATCCAAGGAGCCAGTCATCTCATCATAGAAGGCAGTTGGGTTGGTCAGGCATGACTTGCCCTTGGTGAATCCTTGCTGACTGTTCCTAATCACCTTCTTCTCTTCCAAGCGCTTAGACATGGATGTCTTGAGAACCTGCTCCATGATTTTTCAGGTGACCTGTCTGTAGTTCCCTGGAACCTCCTTCTTCCTTTTCTGAAAGGTGGACACTATATTTGCCCTTTGCTAATCACCCAGGAACTCCCCCTATCACCATGAGTTTTTTAAGATGATGGCCAGTGGCTCTGCAATGACATTGGCCCACTCCCTCACCACCCTTGGGTGCATTACGCCCAGCCCCATGGATTTGTACACATCCAGCTTTTCTAAATAGTCCCTAACCTGTTATTTTGTTACTGTTGACTGCTCATCTCCTCCCCAAACTGTGCTGTCCAGTCTAGTAGTCTGGAAGCTGACCTTGCCTGTGAAGACTGAGGTGAAAAAGACACTGAGTACTTCAGGCTTTCCTACATCATCTTTCACTAGGCTGCCTCCCTATTTAGCAAGGGACCCACACTTTCCCTGATCTTCCTCTTGTTGCTGATATATATGAGTAGAAACCCTTCTTGTTACCCTTCAAATCCTTTGCTAGCTGCAACTCCAGTTACACTTTGGCCTTTCTGATTACATCCCTGAGCAATACTCTTATACTCCTCCCTAGTTGATTGTACAAGTTTACACTTCTTGT